AACGTTATCTGTTAATATCGCATTATCACTTCAGTCAGCAGTACCTCCCGTGCGAACAGCAAAGTCACTTATTTTTTCTTCTCTTTTTCTCATCCCTAACGCATTTCCCATCCCATTTTTAGGAAAGTCAGGGAATGAGAAATTTCCGAAAACTGAAAGATTCTTTAGGCTTTGAACATGCGTTCACTTCTTCAACAGCAAATTTAATATTTCGACGTAAATAGGGGTGTAGACACACAAAGCGAAATACAACACTATCGAGAGTGGCAATAAAGCACGTTTGGAAAAAGCTACTTGTTAACTTAAAATTCGTATTATTTATATGAATCTAAGGAAGAGTTCCAGCTGGAGAAATAAAAAATCAATGAAATTTTACCGCTGGTTTTGTACTTTCGTCGTCAGCAAAAATACCAGTTTTTGGCTCATTTCGAGTCAAATTATCATGAGTCCACTGCACATCGAACTCATCGTTTGCCGATTCGCCAAATGCCTATAAGCAAAAACTTGCTTCACCACCAGTTATTTCTGTTTGCTCTTGTCGAATTCCTTTTTCTTACATGCTGCACAACATAAAACGCGGGGAATAACATGTACAGAATCGCATACAGAAACGACAGTTTTTCCGATTGCGCTCAAACTGTTACAGAGAACTGAGTCCGTATTTATATAAGAATGATTTGTAATGTAAAGAAGAAAAGGGAAACTTTCTAGCCTGTATTTGCTGCAAAACTGCTTTTCCGAAGGCTTCCTGTCGTTCTTGCTCCTTTTCCACTTCGTCGTATGACACAGGTGGTGCTGAAGGAGCCTCAATAATCTGCAAATAATAGCTAATTTAAAAAATTAATTCTTCTAGGTTTTACAGAAATAATGCCTAACAAAATCTAATATTATAGTGCGATAATTCAGTGGGTTAAGTAACGGAAAGCAGATATTCACAATTAAAAGCCAATATGGACCTGGTCTGGGTAATCATCTTCATCCGACGAAGGACTTGTATCAGCATCGGAATCGTCGTCCATACTAGTAGCACGGGCACTATCATCATGATCAGTCACGGTTATTGCTGGTGGAATTTTGCACCTTAAATTGTGTAAAATTTACATATGAGAGATATTTTTAGCACTAAAATATGGTAACTGTAATTATCATTAGACCGTCAGACAAGACTCGCAAAAATTTAACGCTAAAGCGACGATTCAGTCACACATGGACAACTAATATAAACCTCGATCAAGCAGTCTTTTCAGCCATTTGGTTTTTTTCTAGCTTCATACCAGATTTTAGTACTTCTTTTGATCTGCTCAATTCTCCAGCACTTTCTGTCCCCACAAAAATTCACACAAACGGGCAAACAAACATAACTATAAGTCGCAACGATATAAGGTGCTATGTGCTCATATGTGGCATCGAAAATTTTAGATTCAGATCCCACATAAGCTTATATTTAATGCATGGATACATAAAGTTTGGCGCGAAATTTTCCACCTTTAAAAGGGCAGAAAGCTGAAATTTCTGGAGAACGTTTTCTGGCCGTGTGCAACCCTGGAAATTTTAAACTGAACTTCCTCGCATACAGAAACTTGAAAGTTCTAAATGATTAGGGCATTCCAACGACTGCTGCATATATCAAATAGTAAAGCTGTTAGGATTTTTAGCAGCAAGCATCCGTAAGACAGAAATGTACAAAATGCGCGACTGCCTCAGTCACTCTAGTGCGCGTCGTTACTTAAAAAAAAAAGAAACTGAAATCTTTGCATAACCGCCCAAACTTTACTAAATGCACGTTTACGTAAAACTCAGGCACTCACTGCCAAAACAACACCTTCTGCTATTTCTTCGCTCAGCTACCTTGACCCTTCCTTAACTTCGTTTACGACAGAATGACAAAATAAACCACTTCAAATCATGCATAAACAGATGTTCACCGAGGGCTTTTTGTTTCAGACAGCGCAGACTGCGCACTGGATGGTCGTATTTCAAGACTTCTTTCGATGATCACAGCGTCTGTTCTCTAAAAATTGATAAAAATCGCTTTTAATCTTTGCACTGCTGCCTGAACTCAGAATATACGTTACTACAATACATCGTAGCATACGTATATTCTGATGTTTCCACTGTCGCTGATTAAGCAAAGAGGAGATGTAGACTGGCAGTCAAGTGTTAGGCTGCAATGCTAGCCTACAAATATCTTAGCTTGTAGCTTATTCTAAGTCTTGTTTGGACCGATGTTAAGCGCCTAGACGTACGTATACATGCTTGGAAACTACGAAGAGCTTGAATCGATTGCAGATGCGTAGGAAGGAGTGAATTTCATGCTTTGGTGCATCCACTTGCCAAAAGCGCGCGACTAAATAAGCGCAAGCCTCCAACACTTTTCAGTGTCAGGTCAGTTGTAACGGTATTACTCCCCGGTGACATACTTTGTATTCGGCGAAGAAATGATAAAATCCAGTTTTGACACTCACTAGGATGGTACCTTTTGGTCTTCTTTCTAATTTTTTACGTCCAGTGGCTGCAAATCATGCTTCTCCAGCATGATTTATGTCTGTTTGGTTGGAAACTTTTTTATTCGTTTTTGATGTGCAGCGCTACAGGAGCACTACAGCGCTGCTTCAGCCAGCAAAAACGCATACCGTCGACAGGTTGCCTCTGTGTGTTCAGAAGCGAGTGAACTTTGTTACCCACTTTCATTTCAGCAACAAGGAAAGCTGGGAGGCTGAAATTTTGGATGCATGCTCCTATCCCGTATGTCACCTTCCCGTTTTAAAATCTTCCCCCGCAGACGCCTAGACTCCGTGCACAGACCCTCGGAGAAAATATGCGAATTTTTTTGGCGGGAAACGATTTTGCGAACTAGGTAAGATAAAAAGCTGAAACTCAACAGGAATATTCTCTGTGCATGTGCGAGTTAAAAATTTCAAATTCAGTTGTCGCGCACGCTTGTGCAGCGTGAACGATCACTTCAGAGTTTGTAACTTGGTACTATGCTAACTCGAAAACTTGCTGGAAAACAGTGGCTAAAATTTTGTCACCACGTTTGATACCCACGTGGGAAATAGTATACCTAAAATGAGTACTGACTTGCTCTTGCGCCATGACTTAGGGCACTTCAAAAATATTTGTAGCGAAGTGACTATTTCGCTTATCGGATAAGGTGCGAGGTTGAAAATTCGCTGGGATATTCTACTTTCAAGTTCAGTCTTTATTGTGCTTGGAAGTGAAATTCCTTGCAAGTGGGCACGAGAAATACTCAACTTTACTGGAAAATCAATAACGAGTGCGTTTTGCAACGAGCGACCGCCCTCATCCAAATATTTAAATGAACATTCAGTTCATTTGGAAACTTGGATTTTTTGTGACAAACGAACGCTCTAGTAACGTCTCCACTTTTTAGTGAACTGGAAATTTGCATTTTTTTTTCAAAAAGCGAGCATTTACCGAAAAAACGACCAGCCTTCATGCAAAAAACTGGTAATTATGTACCTGGAAGTCCGTGCGGCTCTATAATGCACCACCTTCATCCCATCTGACGCCTTTCCTCCTGCGTGCCGAAAGGAGCAAAAGCACGGCCAATATGAGCTCAAGTGTTAGGCTACAGCGCAGGGACTATTCCCACTATTAGCGACCTGCGAGTTTAGCGCAAAAACGCATGATCGTACCAGTATGCCTTGTGCATTCCAGCCTAGGTTATCCAAACATAAACGATTCTTTTTCATCCAGGGTAAAAGGACGTCAGTAAAAGAGTGCAAAGCAGACGTGGCTAATGTGACGGAGCCGATAAGCAATGCGGATAGCCAATTGGTGTGTAGGCTTTTTGTAGCAAAACCGATCCTTCAAGAGCATCAGCATTGGGCGAAAACTGTAGCATTAGCAATTCTAAAGTCACCAGAGATGTGTTGATACTGACAGCGAATAACACCAAAGGTTTTAATACCAGCAAGCTGCTAAGTCACTCCAATTTTTGTTTGAACTGCTAACAACCTAGATGGCAGATCTGAGTATTTAAGTGAAAAATTACGATGCAAAAATAACTCACAGTGTGGGGGACATACTGTTGGCCAGTGTCGGTGCGAGTGGCACCCAATTCATCTAAAGCCTGACTTATTACCGCCTCTGCTTCCCTGATGCTGCTATCATCCATACCTGAAGTTTTGCCCCTTATTTTACTAGCAAAGCACTGGCACAAATAACAGAACTAAAATCGTTCAGACAGCCTGTGTGGAGATCTCATGAGAGTGGAACTGCTGTTACAGAAATATAAAATTAAATTTTCCTGTAACCTTAAAAAGATTTTAATAAATGGAAAATTTCGCAAAATGATGTAATTGTTGATTTGAGGCTAAAAATTTATAGAACTAAAAAATTGAATAATTCCTCAAGCACACTCTGCAATCCAATAGAGAACCTTCCAGCAATATTGCGGACAATTATGTGCACTGCATTTTAGCGTCAAAAACATATTAATAATGCGAAAAATATTTATCAGAGAAACGCAATTTAAATGAATTTAAACAAACGTCCAGAAGGGAGCTAACTTCTGGAAATAGCAGTGATGTGCCCATGAGCGGAATCAGCCGCTGCGTGCTCCTGCTGACTTCGTTCATGCTTTTGCTCATCCTTTTCAATTTTTTCCTCTTCTTCATTAAAAACTGTTGTCCACATCCGATGCTTTCGTTCTGGCCAGTCGAAATGCTTCTGAAACAAAACAGTGCTTGATCACTTCTCTCACTCCAATTCTTTGTCCCATAATTTGAACTCGAATTAGGTTATTTCTAAATTAAATTTAGAAACGATTGCCTGATCGGTCCAATCAGCAGCACCAATATCAACATCCGCATCTTGATGTTCTGGCTGTGTAAAATCCGGTTGATTCGAAGCATCAAATGCAGCAAACCGGCGATCGTCCCCGAACGTATAGTCAAAATCAGCACTACCGTAATCGCTACTTGCGGAAGGAATGTCCGTTTCTTGTGCATCAGCTTCCGGAATTACTACACTGGGGATAACATCTGGCTGTTCATATCCTCTATCACAACTGCCGTTCTCAACGGTAGCATATCCACTGTCCAGCTGAGGCGAAACAACATCGGCAGACCGCACAGACGATTCCATAGAACTTGTTATCGGTGCTGGTTGTTTCTCTACCTCATGAATTTCCTCTTCTTCCCTGCTGTCGCTGTCCTTTTTGCGCCGAACATATTCATTTTCCACTCCTCCTGGATATTTGCCCACGTTCCATTCATCCATTTCAACTGTCCCATCACTTTTCGCTCCTGTAATTATACATCTAAAGATATTTTCACTGTCATCAATGAAAATCCGTCCTTCAGGTTCATGTGATTAGATGTTGAAACAAAGTCCGGGGGGGGGGGGGGGGGGGGG